AATGAGATAAATGGTATTGAAGATATATTTCCAAAAAATGATAAAGTTACATTGTGGGCTAAAAATAACATTTTAATTCCTAGAGGTTACATGGTGAACGCTATCATAGAATCACGGGATAGCAAGTTTTGTGGCGACCTATTTGTGGAGGCAAGTTTTCGTTTGGAGAAAGGTAAGGAGTATTGTATACCTAGAACAGTTTTGACATTCGAGAAAAATAAGGAAGTAGTTATGCCTCTCATAAATTTGTCTGATAACGACATTATCCTTAAAAATAAGAAACCTCTAGTTAGGGCTACGCCTTGCATTCCAGAAGAGCAAAGATATATAAATCAAATTTTAAGTATGAGCACCAAAGTAAAAACTTCTTCATCACTACCTATAGAGGAAATAAAAATTGGACCAATAGACCCTACTCATAAAGAAGCTTTGATCAAGTTATTACAAGAATACAGGGACTGTTTTGCCGAAAACACCGCGGAATTAGGCAGTGCAAAGTCTGCTGAAATGGAAATAGTTTTGGAAGATAATAGGCCCTTTACTTATAGACCGTATCGAATGTCCATTAGTGAACAACAAAAGGTAAAAACAATGATTGGTGAATTATTGGAAAACGAAATCATACGTGAATCCAATTCTCCATATGCATCGCCCATATTACTTGTGAAGAAAAAGACTGGTGATGATAGAATGTGCATAGATTATAGGAAATTAAATTCAATGACGGTTAAGGATCGTTACCCGTTACCACGCATAGACGACCAGTTGGATAGATTACAAGGAAGTATTTATTTTACAAGTTTGGATCTTCGATCCGGATATCATCAAATACCAGTTGCTGAAAAATCTAAACAGTACACCGCCTTTGTAACTTCGGATGGTCAATTTGAATATAATCGTATGCCTTTTGGTCTGGCGAATGCGCCAGCCGTTTTCCAAAGACTAATAAATAAAGTTTTGGCTCCTGCAAGAGAGACTGCAGCCGTGTATCTTGATGATGTTCTAATTCATACAAAAACAATAGAGGAGGGATTACAAAAACTAGAGACAGTTTTAAAATTACTTAGAAACGAAGGTCTTACTTTAAATGTATCAAAATGTAGTTTTCTATTTCAATCTGTAAATTATCTGGGTTTTGAAATTTCGAATGGAACATTTAAACCAGGTCTTGCAAAGACAAAAGCTATTGAGGAGTTTCCAGTACCAAAAAGCGTACACAACGTCCGCCAATTTATTGGACTAACAGGTTATTTTCGACAATTCGTCAAGGATTATGCAACAATAGCGCGGCCTCTAACTGCCTTGTTAAAGAAAAGCGTGGCGTGGCATTGGGGAGAAGATGAGCAGAAAGCATTTGAAAAACTACGATCAGCTCTGTCCCAAAGACCAATTCTAGCCATATTTAATCCTGATGCTCACACGGAAGTCCACACAGATGCAAGCTCACACGGTTTGGCTGGAATCTTGCTTCAAAAACAACCAGATGAGCGTTTGCATCCAATTGCATATTACAGTAGGCAAACTAGCAACACTGAGAGTAAATTTCATTCTTATGAATTAGAAACTTTGGCAGTCGTGGAAAGTTTAAAGAAGTTTAGAGTATACCTTCTAGGTTTGCACTTTACTGTGGTAACAGACTGTAATGCCTTAAAAGCAACAAGTACAAAAAAAGATATACTACCCCGTATAGCACGATGGTGGTTGCAACTGCAAGATTTTAACTTCGAGGTAAATTATCGACCGGGTAATAGATTAAAACATGTGGATGCTCTTAGCAGAAACCCATCAACAAGTGAAGAACCACCAGCTGAAATTTTACGAGTAGAGCAAGCTGATTGGGTTTTATCAGGACAACTTACAGACGAAAAGCTGAAAGAAATTAAAGAAGTTTTGTCCAAGCCACCAAATTCTGATTATGAAAAGGAAATATACAAAAACTACGCTCTGCGAGATGGAAGGATTTATCGCATAACTGTAAAAGGATTACTTTGGGTAATACCACGTGGTATGCGACAACAGATAGTTCGAATGGCACATGATGAAAGTGGACATTTCGCTACAGAAAAGACGTTGAAACGATTATGTGAGCATTATTGGTTTCCTCGAATGCGAGAATACGTGCAGAAATACATTGCTTGTTGCATTCCATGCTTGTTTAACAAACGTCCAAGTGGAAAGCGAGAAGGATTTCTACATCCTATCGAGAAGATGCCTGTACCATTACACATGATTCACATTGATCATGTAGGACCTTTTCCAAAAAGTCGTCGAGGAAATATTCATCTTATTGTAGCTGTAGATGCTTTTACCAAGTTTGTGTTTTTGAAACCAGTAAAATCGACAAAAACAAAGCTAGTTATTGATTATTTACAGGAAATTTATAGCTACTATGGTCATCCCCATACCTTAGTATCTGACCAGGGAAGTGCATTTACCTCATCTAAATTTAAACAATACTGCAAAGATAACTTTATTAAACATATACAAAACGCAGTAGCTACACCAAGAGCTAATGGGCAGGTTGAAAGATTGAATCGCACAATTAAAGGAGCTATTTTGGCAACAACTACTGATGAAGATAGATGGGATGAGAATATAAAGAATATTCAGTTAATAATTAATACTACTTGTTCACAAACAACAGGAAAGACACCGACAGAACTATTCTATGGTTATAAGCCTAGACGTGGAACAAGTATACCTTTACTAGATGAAATTGTGAAAATTCCTACTTTAATCCAAGATCTTCCCACACTACGCTTAGAGGTTGCTCAGAAAATTTCCTCAAATCAAATCAAACAAAAGGCACAATATGACAAGAAAAGAAAAACTCCCAAGAAATATAAGAAAGGCGACTTGGTACTCATCGAGAAACAACGCTCAGCTGAAGGCACTAGTCGAAAATTAGTCCCTCCTTATGCCGGACCCATGATGGTAAAAGCGGTATTACCAAATGACAGATACCTAATTGTCGACATGCCAAAGTCCCATAGAACTATTAAGTCCACTAACTACGAGAAGGTCATTGCTGTCGACAGGATGAAGCCTTGGGCTAATCACGGAGGAATATCAGATGAAACAAGCAGTGATAGCGGTGAAGATGATGTGGAGTTGAGTTCTGATGATTCAGTATCCAACTAGAGTGACCACCTCGGGGCGAGGTGATTTCAGGATGGCCGAATGTAAGTCATTATTTTATTAAACCTATTTTATCGAAATTAAATGACGAAAAATGAACGTGGGCAATACATAAACACACGCTCGACTGTTTATATTAACTGCTTGATGAAATTCTAGCCGCTCTTGAAATAAGTACGATAAAGGGGCTTTGATTTACGATTATTGTACACACATAGATTTTAAAATATAAAAATCTTAAGTAACGTAAAATCATTTGAATCATTCATGTATGGGCAGTGTGTTGAAGTTGTTGTTTAGTTCAGTTGATAAAAATACTTTTTATAGTGCAAGACTCTTTATATTTGTGGGTGTAAAATAACTACTAGCTAAACAGGTGAGCTTATCACTGAGTGTCTTTTCTTTAGTAATCTGAATGTATATTTAGGCAGCGTTGTTATTTACTGGTAATTATTGTATTTACTTTGAATATGAAAATATCCGATTTAAAGACTGATTTGATAATAGTCCGTACACACGTAAAATTATCTGGAGCGGACAATTGCGTGTTTAATCCCTTTTGTCCATTGCACTACTCAGATGTCGACCACAGGTCAAGCTCTAGTAGCTGGAGCGAGCAAGTTGCGAGTTTAGCCCTTCATGCTCATTGCACAACTCAGTACTAGGAGAAGTATGAGACGTACCGCGTGTTTAATCCCTTTACGTCTAAGGGTGATAACTAGGTAGAGGTCACGTCGCGTGTTTAATCCCCTCGTGACCTAACTGCGATCTCCTAGTTACCACGCCTTGATTATGAACAAGCTATACAAGCTATTTAAATAGCAATAAAATACAATGCGTGTTATATCCCTTTGTGTTTTGGTGATTGTACGAATCGTTATTAAATTGATTAGTATTTAGCAGGGTTATGAGAGTAGACACTCATGTACGTTTTCTTTATTATAGGTAAACCAGATTATGCGCACTAAATGGAAAGTACCTCGACCATCAATCAGACCATCTTGACACTTGTTAGTTTATTTGGTAATTACATTAAACATTAAATGAGTTAAATAAAAACAGTATTAAAATCGTTTAATTGACTTTTAATATTATTTTCTTTTAGTTTACTTTTTAAATATTTTTAAATTAAAATACTATTAATTTTTCCACTTTACATAACGGAAAATGCTTGCCGGGATCTGCCGTATTTATATTGCAGATTTGTATCAGGTCATGCATACTCTTAAAGTAAAACTTATCAGATTTTTCCCCTTGCGGATGACCACCTCCCCTCTTCTCCGACCTCCCCCGTCCGTCCAGTGAAAAGCCTCCAATGACAGGTGGCACCCAAGTCACTCATATCACCAACACTCCACTCCTCAATGACCGCTACACCACTACACCACTCCAGCTTGCACTCCATGAAAATGTTTGTTTCACTTTATTTTTTTAATTATTGTTGGTTTCATCTTTAAACCTTTACGTTTCAAGAGCTCGCCCGCACGCGACCCGTCTACTCGAGCGCCGGAACCGAACTGGAACGATTTTTGTAAAATTATATTTTATTAATCTAGACAAATAAAATTTCGTTATTTTTTAACGCAATAATTTGTCTAATTTTTAATTTTAATCGAAATTATGAATTTTAATCTTAGGTCTCAAACTTTTTTAATAAAACCAAGCAAAGATTTTTTATAAAATTATAAATTTTCAGTCTCTTTTTGAATAAAACGAACTTTGCACCATTTTTGTAAAATCATGGATTTTGATCGAAATTATGGATTTTGACCATAGCCTCAAACTGCTTGTTTTTTAGTTGGTACAAGCAAAGATTAAATATACTCGTATATTTAATATTTGGCACAAGTAAGGAAATTAAAAAAAAAACACAAACATTTAATAATATATAATTTTAATAATTTATTAACATGTTACAAAAAATAATAAATACATAAAGTGCTAAAATATAGTTAGCCTAAAATTGATCAAGGTCCAAATTAGATGAATAACTTGGTTTTAAAAATATGTCTGCCAAATTATTTTTTTAATAACGCTATTCTAATGAAGTAATTAAATGTATAAAAATGAAGTCAACATTTTAGTAGTTTTTGACTTGACTTGTGAGATTCTGATACTGATGTGCTAAAGCCAAAAAATCATGTCAAAAAATGTTTAATATATTTTATCAAAATCGACATAAAATTCTTTGGCTTAGGATTACAGGGTGGTTAATAATGTGACTTAAAAATACAGTTATTATTATTTGTCACAAGTTTAACAATATCATAAAGTAATATTAATCGGTCCCTTCATATATGTTTATAAAGGTTAAGAGTTAATATTACTTTTGCTTTAATTATGAATGAAGAATGTTTAATTTCACTACATGAAAACCTGATTATAAATAAATCCAACTTCAAATAATAAAATTCAGGTACTTTGCAATCCAGACGAGATACAATAATCTCAACATCAATCCAACTGGTGTGTAAACTTAGGCAGCATATTCCTTACAAAATATATTCAAGGCACAAACCGTATATTTTCATCCAAAACTTTACAACATTACTTTAGTATTTTCCGTTCAAAATTGCAGATGCGTTTGGTATTATGGGACACAATACATAAAAAGGTTTAAAAATACTGCAATTACGCCCATCTGTTCCCATTACTTCTCCGTTAAAAACATTGTATTAGTCATTCAATAAAAAAAACTTATACTGATTCATATCTTTCCCATACTACTCCCAATCTTTGCAGACCCTTCAGATCTCTTTAGTTTTAGGTCAGTTTCGTATTTTTGACTATTTTCGACATTTTTAAATATAAGTTAATTATGGAAAAGGACAAAAATAGAAACAACCTGGAGCCACTTTATCAAACAAATAACCCACATTGTACAGGGTGGCCTAAAAATAGCGCGCCATCTTTTGGCCTACCTGTATACTTTGCATATTCAATAAATATAACTTACTTTAACTTTTAAATGCAATTATATACAAAAAAAATGTGATAATATTAAGTACTGCAAATAGCCAGCCTAAACCGAAAAAATTGCACATACAACAATTAACATATTAAATATATTATTTACTAGAACATATGTATAATAATAATAATAAATTAAACTACTGTACAATTAGAATTTTGTGTATAAACATTTAAATACACTGCGCGTTAAAATTAACGCATAACAAGTAAAAAAATCCAACTCTAGAACGCCTTTACCAATCTTTATAAAATTTTGGATTAAAATACTTCAACTTATATCTCTGTTTACGTGATCAAGGTTTTTTCGAGAAAATAGCCCTTTTATTTAATAATAAAAAATGCTCGAAAAACACTTTTTTTGAAGTAAATAAAAATATGCTGAGAAAGACCGTATTTTTGTTAGTATACCCTGAAAATCAAACGGACAGTAACGAAAATACAGCGCTTCAAAGTCGTCAAAAATGATCAAAAAGGGTTCATTTTTACTTTGACTTTGAAGCGCTATATCTTCGTTACAGTTTGTATGATTTGTACAAAATTTTCAGGGTATATTAACAAAAATACGGTTTTTAACAACATTTTTTTATTTGCTTCAAAAAAAATTTTACGAACGTTTTTTTATTAAATAAAGGGGCTTTAAAAATATTTTCTCGAAAAACCAAGTATTTTTATAAAAAATATCATAAAGATTGGTAAAGGAGTTTTAGAGTTAGTTTTTTACTTATTATGCGTTAATTTTGCCGCGCAGTGTATGTACACCCTAAACACTAAAAAAATGTGACGCAATAATAGTGATGCTACAATAATATCAATAACTTACACAAACAATTCGACTTCTTGAGAGGTGAAACTTTAAAATAATTAATCAATGTATAAAATTTCTTCGTTTTACTCTCAACCATCGAAAAAAAAAAATAAACACCCTGTACTATTCTACAAGTAGAGGCCATATCTTCATAAAAAAGGAACTTGGTTGTTATCCGAATAATCTCACATTGGTAACAATGAAAAAGGTATTTAAAATAATTTAAAATATCTAATAGCAGCACTTTTCAAATTAATTTCTTTGAATTATTTGTTATTCATAACAATCGACTTGTTAACTGTAATCTACTAAAAATACAATAAAACCCTTCGTTAATAAATAAATACAAATTTAAAAAGCGTATTTTTGTAGGATTCTGTTAAACCAACTAAAGAATTTTGACAGTTATATGATTTTAGTACTGCGCATGTCAAATAACTGTCAAAACGATATTGTTTGTTTTTCCAGGGTCAACTTTAGTACAATTTACTCGGGTCTTGTGTTTCCTACGTTAACTTTCCGCAAATCGGTAAAAGTTCAAGTGTAGCGGTATTTGTGTAGATTTAAAAAGGTTTGATGATAAGTCGCTTTTTTGTTTATGTGATATTCCCAGACTTATCCGTCTAGGGTGGTGCGATTCTGCGACCAGCTAGCGCAGGCTTTTGTTAATGGCTTCTTGCACGGCCTCTGCGATGTCTTCGAACACTTTCACCTGTCTTCGGTGAGCCAGGTCGGTTAGGTACACGCGCGCCCTGTTGTAATCTTTCACGGCGTTTTTCGTCATCTACAACAAATAATTTTGCCGTTTTATAGTCACATTTTTTGGTTGATTTTTTTTTTTGTAAAATCATATAAAAAAGTAGTTAAATATAGGTGACTACGGCCCGGGAGAGACAAAGTATTCCTAGCGGATAATAATCTTCGCTTTGAAAAGAATTTATATAAAATAAATTAAAATTGTATGTGAACACACGTGAATGTAGTCCAATCAATGGACTCCAATGGTAAATGGGTATTTTGTTAAAGCCACTGGACGTTAATACTTGTAGTGGCTTAATAATAATTATAATGTATATATTGATCAGTAACTTGCAAATTGAAAGAAGAAAAAGTTTCGTGATTATTGCTTATCTTTTTCAAACCAAATGGATGCTATTTTCAAAGTCATTTTTGTTTTTATATTTCCCTTATTTTTTAAAATTTCAAAAAATTTTGATCTACTTAGCATAAGATTGATTTTAAATTTTTTTTTGGACTTGTACTGTTTTTATTCGCACCGATTCAATTAGCAGAAGTACCATTTTTTTAATACTAAAAATACTAAATCAAACTGACATAAGCTACCAACACTAGTCCAAATATAAAAAATGAACTGTATATACAGGGTGCACCAAGTATCCTTGTTGCGTAATTACGAGCCTGTTAAAATAAAATTTATAAACTGAAAAAAAAGTCTGCGGTTCTCAAAATATTTGATTGAAACAAACTAAAAATCTTTTAAAATAAAAAATCCTTATAACTTTGTTATTAATGTTTTACATGTAAACATACACATTAATATACATTTCCACCTATCTAACCATGTAAAATTCCAATATGGCGACCATATAAAGAACAAAAGACGGTGATGGTAACTCAAAATCTAGTGGGCGAAAAAAATCACAAATTTGATGAAAATGTAGATAAATGTGTATGTGGGTAATTATACTATTAAGGCTCTCTGTGATTTGACAGTTGTCCCTAACATTTCTTATTAAAAGAATAATAAATTGAGACAGCTAATATATTATTATTATTATTGAAAACTTGGATATACAGTGGGTCTACTTAAGTTGGTAACATATGGGAAACTTTCTTATTATTAATTTTGCGAAGAAAAGTTATTCTTTATAAAAAGTTCTGCATGTTCTAAAATCTCAAATAAAATCATCAGATATCAAATTTTTTCAGTCATATACGAGGTTCGACAAAAAATATGAATTTGGTACAAGAGTAAAGTACCTTTATTTGTGACAATATTGAAAACTGTAATTATGAAAATTTGTTCGGAATAAAGAACTATATTTTAATATGCAATTACATCCTTCTACTTCAACATTTTTTTTTACAAATTTTTCTTAAATTACCGATACCGAACATTTAATCTTTTTTATTTATTACAAACATGATAATCTTTACGTTCCGTTCAGAAAGTAATAAGCAAATTTTGATGCTTTGACATTCCATGTCAAACATTTCTTGCCATCGACAAATCATTTGTTAGTCAGTGCATTCTAGATTACATGCAACTACAACATAAAACATAAAAATATGTTTTCCATGTAAATGGAAGAAATTGTATATTTAAATGTAGTTTTTAGTTCTGATCAACTTTTTTATACGAATTTTCAATATTGTCAAATATAAAGGTACTTTACTCTTGAGTAAGATTCATATTTTTTGAGAAACCGCGTATATTTAATAACTTTATCAAAAATGAACTCTATCACAACTATAATACCAGAAATAAGGCCAATTTAACTGTTCCCCACCACAGGTTAGAAATGACAAAACAAGGAATAGGTTACTGGGGTCCAATATTGTACAATCCATTATCAGCAGAATTAAAAAAACTAAACTCAAATACTTTTAAAACATCCATACAGAGCCTCATGTTAGCAAATTCTATCTATACAATTGATGATATAACATTTTATTTATGTTTAATTTATATGCGTTTGTTTGTATTTTATATTTTTTTGCATTAATTTATATACAGGGTGTTATGTAATTAATGTTATATATTAAAATGGGTTGTTCCTTAGGGTCCATAAGGAAGCACCTGAAACTTTTTTTTCTAAATTCCAAAGACTAAAAATAATTTATAATAACCTTTATCCCACCAAAAAGTACGCCACTGATCGACTAGGAACTTTAGACTAATCTGGTTGCCTAATTTAATTTATTATGTTATGGTTGGTATCCCTGGTTGGTAACATCAGCGTTTCCAAATTCTGTCAAAAAAGTTGACAAACATTGTTTAAATTTAGCTCAATTACAAAAATGACAAAATTAACAATGCAAATTGTCAATTAGGCGTTTTTATTAATTGTTGGTTATGTCATTTTTGTACTGAAGGTAAATTCAAACAAAAACAACAAAATCTGGCAACTTTTATGACAGAATCTAGTGCATTTTTTTCAAATTTTAGGTTATGTGCTCAAATTGTAAATATCTTAACTAAGGGAAGTGCTTTTGGATTTATTTACACAAATTAAATGTTTAAAGTTTAACCTGTGAACTGGTCCCAACTTCATCTGAGTAAACAGAAAGAAAAAAACCGATGAAAAAATTAATTTTGTGGTTATGGATTTTTTAAAATATGTACTAAATTTCCTAATCATTTCTTAAGCTAATAGCTGGATGAGTAAATAAATACAGCAGGGTATTAGAGCTTTAAGGGCATAAAACTTTTGTATTTATTGAGTTTTTATTTATTTTTAGTAACAATTTTTTACATCTGGCAACGCGCAGCTACTTTGTTGGTTGGTGCCTATGTATTCACCGAACACAAGTGTGTAACCAGTGGCGTATCACAAAAAATATAAAAATGCATATTTTTTTTTTTATCCTTGGAAAAATATTTTTTTAAATATTTTTCCTTTACTTGTTATTTCAAAAGGTATTCAGTATTTTAATATATAACATTAATTACATAACACTTTGTACCTGATAATTTTGTAACTATTTTTTGACAAATAAATTTCTATCTATCTATCTATACAACTAATTTTTTTTATCTGATTAATAATAAAAAAGTTTCCCATATGTTGCCAACTTAAGTAGACACACTGTACTTCATAGGTTTTGTATAACTCAGAATTCTTAAAATAAAATGAAATATGAAATAAGTAGCTCCTCAGTAATAATAAAGAATGAGTTAAAATGTCTGAATAATTTTTTAAGCGTTACCAAACCCTCTCAGGGGCTGTTTAAGTAATGTTAAAGTAATGCAGGCTAATTATGAGACACCCTGTATAATACAACATTTAAAAAAAGATATTCCGTAATACACTCACGGGCAAAATAATCGATCTACACAAATTTTTGATGAATTTCAATCGCAAATAACTTTTTTATTTTATTTCTGTTTTAAACAAATATTAAAGAATATTGTAGATCATTAATGGAGAATCGCTCACATTTTAAAAATTACTAAAAAATACACGTACGTTTATAATATACAGGTTTAAACAAAAAGACTTTTTTACCATAAGTTTAAGACACTCTGTAGAGTGGCAAAACCGTATATTGTTCTAAATTAGGTTTTAATTATCAAGTCACATATATTTTTAACAGTTTTGTTTTTGGTTCACCTTGATATATTTATTTTTGTGGAAAATATGGATTTTTTTTTTAAAAAACATTGCAATTTCCAATATTTTCCTGTATGATGAACTAAGGTTGCTATGGCCCATCCATAGCCTATGGAGGATGACAGTGACAGTTTTGTTGAATCATCCCATACTTGGACATGTCATACACGGCTTTCAAAAGCTATCAAATTGTTGTGTTAATTTTGAGGTGTCTTCTTACTTTTAAAAATGTCTCCGACTGATGTTGGCCTTTGTACTTTACTTCTTGTGACGTTTAAAACACTTGCCACGTAATACTGTGACCGTCCATCCTGGATTAAATTAATGGCTCTGGCAACATCAGTCGGGGACATATCCATTTTTTAAAGTGAGAAGACACCTCAAAATTTAAACATTAATTTGCAAAAAACAATTTGATAGCTTTTGAAAGCCGTGTATGACATGTCCAAGTATGGGATGATTCAACAAAACTGTCACTGTCATTCTCCATAGCCTAAGGATGGACCATAGCAACCTTAGTTCTTCATACAGGAAAAATATTGGAAATTGCAATGTTTTTTTAAAAAATCCATATTTTCCACAAAAATAAATATATCGAGGTGAAGCAAAAACAAAACTGTTAAGAATAGATGTGACTTGATAAATAAAACTTAATTTAGAAGAATATACGGTTTTGCAACTCTACAGAGTGTCTTAAACTTATGGTAAAAAACATATTTTTGTTTAAACCTGTATATTATAAACGTACGTATATTTTTTAGTATTTTTTTAAAATGTGAGCGATTGTCCATTAATGTATCTACAATATTCTTTAATATTCGTTTAAATCCGACATCAAATAAAAAAGTTATTTGCGATTGAAATTCATCGAAAATTTGTGTGGATCGATTATTTTGCCTGCGAGTGTAGTAGAAATAGAGAGAAAAATAAGAGTGGAAAAAACGTGTTGATGTACTCACCACTTCGCCGTGCACGAGGCACGGCTTGTCGGCGGCGAGATGCTGCACGCAGAGCACGACGCGCTCGGGCGCGGTTGCCAGGTGGTGCGCGGCCAGCACCATCGTCGCCAACGATCGCGTGTCGTCGCCGATCGCGAACATCAGCACGCGACTCTCGTCGATCGCCTCCCTCCACTCGGACACGTCGGCGTCGCCTATCGCCGCCCTGCCGCCCTCGTGCCCGCCCGTCTCTCTGATCGTCGGGTTGTAGTACCTGAGCGGAGTCGCAAACAATGCATTATTTTTTTAACGCATCAAGTTTTCAATACACATTAACTATGGTTTCGCGTAAAAATCGAACAAATTTTGGACATTCGTTTGCAAGTGATGCCAGAATTGAATATATTTTTTTAACCTTGTTTCTACATCTAAATGGTACTATGCTCCACACCTCAAAGTTCCACCACGTGACCACGTACGGAACGCAGTCTTTTGAAAATTTGGCATTTAAGGCTTTTCAGGTATAGTCAACGAAAGAAATAATATTATGTTTAGGCGTTAAAAATGTATAAATCTTTATAACATTACAATAACAATGGATAGTTTAAGAATTTAGGAATATAAATACTGAATTTAATGAAATTCCAAAGTGTAAGATGCAATATAAGTGATATTTTTGTGCAATGGGTCTACATTTCTCCATAAAATAGTTTTAAATAAACATCATTTATCAAAAAAATCTAACTTCTCTATTATGAAATAAGAATATCTGTATCAAAGGTAGTTTAATGTATTAGAACAAAAAATATCATCTAATTATGTATTTTAAGGTTAGAAAAATCTATTTTGACCAAAATAAATAAGTGGATTATTTGAAAGAGTGTGTTAATATGGTCATAAATAAATATAGGTATACTAAATAATTGTTGAATATGGATCAAATTAAATTGAAGCTTTTATATTCTAACAACAAAAGTTGTGCATACCTCTCGGCATACCTACTTTAAGTTAGATTATAAGAAAACAAACAACTTTTAGAGAAACTTGCAATGTGAAAATATTTAATACTCCCATGATATGTGATTTATTAAAAATTTTAAAGTTATAATGATTTTTTGATGTAGATCAAGTTCAGTCGAAGCTCTTTAACTATTTGTATTGACAAAACTTTATGTAGGTACACTTTAAGCTGGATAAGAAAAACTACCACATTTTTAAATACCATATTATACAGTCTTTTAAATAATCGAAAATACTTATTTATTTTGGTCAAAATAAATTTTTTTAACCTTAAAATAACAAAATTAGATGATATTTTTGTTATAATATATTAACCTACCTTTAAAACAGATATTCTTATTTCATAATAGAGAAGCTAGATTTTTTTTAATAAATGCTGTTTAGTTAAAATTATTGTATGGGGAAAACCAGATATTTGGACTAAATGCACAAAAATATTACTTATTTGGCACCATACACTTTAGAATTTCATTAAATGCAGTATTTTTATTCTTAAACCATCCATTCCCAGATAGCACAAAGGTATACTATGGACGTCCAATGGACGTATGCTCGTGGACGTCTGTATGTACATAGGTTGTCCATTTTTTTTCTATGGACGTCCCATGGACATCCGTTTAGAGTCCAGATGTCACAACTTTGGACCAAGTCGTCCACCGATGGACGTCTATAAGGTGTTTGAACCATTCCTCCAGCATCCAGGACCTGCTTTTTTGCTTACTTTAACTGTTTTTGCGACTGTATTTTCATTGCGATGTTGCAGAAAATTTTCTACAACATGACTGAAATGCCTTTTGTCTAGTGTTGGGATCACTCGAGTGAAAAATAACCTATTACCCGGTTATTGAAATAACCTGAATTATTCGGTTATGAGTTTCGGATCCAAGTGATGAATAACCGGTTATTTGCGCAGTGTATATTTGTAAAATAACCTGGTTGGCAAAAGTCTGAAACGCTGTGGTAAATAAAGATATCTGTAATATATAGGTTATATTTTTAGGAATCTGCTCATTTGACAGTTGAAGTTTGTTTAAAATTTGAATTTATAGAAATTTGAATTAAATTTAAATTACTACGTGGAAAAACTAAAAATGTAACTATTAAAAATTTAATAATAATTTTTTGCCTACTAAAATTATGTTGAAAAACTACCAAAAAAGTAGATTTCTAGAAAAATGGTAATACTGCTTGAACATTCCAAGCCTTTTTTAAGGAATCGGGTAAACCTAAAATTGCTTCTTTACATTCCGGCATATTTGTTAAATGCATTGCGGTCCGGAATGTAAAGAAGCAACACCGAACGCCTCGTTATTTAGGCCCACCCCACGATGAGCATTCAAGTGATCGTCATTCAAGTGATAATCCGGTTTTTGAAATCACTTGAATACTCGGTAATCGGTTATTGAAATAAATCGGTTATTCCCAACACTACTTTTGTCTGGCTCAGTAATAATCCCACTAGGAATATAAATATTCTAAAAGTTGTTAAAAGTTACAACATTCAATGTTGAACATAGCAGGAAATCCTTGTATTTGACTCAGGATTCCTGAGTCAGGAACATTACATTTGCAATACTACAAGTGTTTAACATTTCATTGATAGCTTAAGTCCTTTATAGCACGCGCTTGCTTGAATGTCAGTGAGATTGATCATAACTGTTGTTATGCAGCCAACAATACGTTTTAACTTGCATTTCTGTAATAATAATTATGAACGTAAAATGGACACTATATGGACGTCCATTAAAATCGTACAAAGGATGTAAATATATGGACGTACATAGTACATCCATTTTTAATCCGTGGACCAATGTACTTAAAATGGATCTTAAACGGACGTCCATTGGACGAATGGTGCTATCTGGGTTGTTATTGTAATGTTATAAAGATTTATACATTTTTAACGCCTTAACATAATATTATTTCTTTCGTTGACTATACTTTGACAGATACATAACCTTAAAACCCTTAAATGCCAAATTTTCAAAAGACTGCGTTCCGTACGTGGTCACGTGGTGGGACTTTGAGGAGTGGAGCATAGTACAGTCTCTCATTACTCATTTTTTAATGTGTAATGAAAATATTTCTCATTACAAATGATTAATGTATTCAAACTACATAACCATTAAAAAAACGACGATTTCATTATTTTTTACATTAACATTTTTGCTGTGTGTGTTTTTACCTGAGGCCGTGCACTTTCAGCTTCGGTATGGCGACGTCGCGACGCCAGTCGACGCGCGACCGCGTCGAGCCGCCCAAAAAGACGTCGTAGCGCGGCGACGACGTCCCGTTCGTCGTCGTCGATGCAGTGCTCGTTAGAGGGCGCTCCAGTCGGGCGTCGTTATGCGGATCACAGCTGTTGTTGTTTGTTGTTTTTGCCCATACTATAAAAAAAAACAATACAATAACAATGCTATTCTTGTTTAGTCTGGACAGTGTATTTAGGTTTTATTACTGCAATTAATTGGGTAAAAATTTTTTTTTCTATCGTTAGGAAGCTTAATTTCGAGCTTCTGACCATACTACTATGGAGTAAGGCTTTTTGTGCTAAGCGTCGGCCTACAATTGAGCGAAGCACAAAAAGGCACTTCTTGGCCGAATGGCATACAACATTTTATCTTCAATGCACTTTATATATGTCAATTTAATTCAACATCAAAGCGGCCTAACCTCACTTTTTTAGAATCTCATTTATTTATTAGCTAAAGATTACATTAAATGTACAATAATTATTATTGCTTTTGGAAGCAGTAATAGTTTGACAATACCTAGCTACATGATTTAAGTAGAAATGGATTTTTGCTATTACATTGAATTCGATTAATTGTTTAATAAATAGGTAGATATCTAATTTCAATTTGTTTGGATTTTTATTTAAAAAATAGGTAGTTTGGAATGTTTAAGCTGTGTTTAACATTTAATTTCACTGAAAACTTAAAGCAAATTAAAACTTATAGATAATTTAAATCGTAGGAAAAGAATCGTGCGTTTTCTTGGTTGCCTAACTTCACTTTTTGTTTTATTATTCATATATAATTTTACAATAATTTAAACAGTAAAACAAACAAATTAGTGCTTATTATGAATAAATTAAACCAGTTTAGTACGTTAATTTCTTAGAAAAGGATTAATTTGTCAAAAAAATACCCCTAGCGAGAAAAAATCGAACTAATTACTTGCCTCATAAAAATTTTTATCGGCCTAGGCCATAACAAGGTATTTCATTATCGAATGTTGACAACAATAAAGTTTAAATTATAGACCGCGTGGATATAAATTAAATTAAATTTATCTTCAAGCGGTCTATAATTTAAACTTTATTGTTGTCAACATTTGATAAAGAAATACCTTGTTATGGCTAAGGCCGATAAAAAATTTTATGAGGCAAGTAATTAGTTCGATTTTTTCTCGCTAGGGGTATTGTTTTGACAAATTAATCCTTTTTTAAGAAATTAACGATTCTTTTTCTACGATTTAAATTATCTTTAAGTTTTAATTTGCTTTAAGTTTTCAGTGAAATTAAATGTTAAACACAGCTTAAACATTCCAAACTACCTATTTTTTAAATAAAAATCGAAACAAATTGAAATTGGATACCTACCTATTTATTAAACAATTAATCGAATTCAATGTAATAGCAAAAATCCATTTCTACTTAAATCATGTAGCTAGGTATTGTCAAACTATTACTGCTTCTAAAAGCAATAATAATTATTGTACATTTAATGTAATCTTTAGCTAATAAATAAATGAGATTCTAAAAAAGTGAGGTTAGGCCGCTTTGATGTTGAATTAAATTGACCTATATAAAGTGCTTTGAAGATAAAACGTTGTATGCCATTCGGCCAAGAAGTGCCTTTTTGTGCTTCGCTCAATTGTAGGCCTCCGCTACGCGTCGGCCTTCAAACCTTGAGCTTAGCACAAAAAGCCTTACTTCTTAAACCTAATGACATAAATAACTATTTTATAAAAAGCAGTAGGTATTTAATAAAACGTTTGCAAATTTTTTAATATGTCTTAAAATTTGTCTGAAATGTCCTTAAATTCTACCAAGATTTGTCCTAAAATCCTAAAAATAGCACTATTGCTATTGCAAAAGTTGTTAAACACAATTACCTACAACTTTTATTATTTGTTATTTCCCTTAACAACATAAAATCGTTTGATTAACAAAATAACTTTAAAGCTGCAAAGGGTTGATGGTCGAAATCTCCGATTTAACTTCCTATACAGTACCTTTTTTCAGACCAAATTAATTGCAATAATACTCATATAAATCGTGAATAATAATAAAAATAATTTATCATAAAAAAGTGCAAATAATTATAAATTAAACATAAAAGACGTTTAGATTCAACACAACCTAACATTTAATTGTAGTAATTACATAATTAATTAATATTTTTAATAAGTAATTCTGATTCTGATCTTGTCTAAGAAATGTAAAGGACATCTTTTAGCCACCTTTTTGAGATTTATAAAAAAATATATTTTATAGATGTATTTTAGAGATTGATGCTGTGTGGGGAGTGTTATTGATATTAAATACAGGGTGCACCAAGTATCCTTTTATGTATGGGTATCTTTTTTATTAAATTAAAGAAAAGTTGCAGAAATACAAGTCTAATAAAATGGAATTTAAAAATTGTGCAAAAAATCACCTGTTCGTAAATAATTTGAAATAAGCTGAAAACCCCATGTAAACCGCTGGCCTTTTTTAATTTATAAATTTAATAGGCTTGTAATTAGGCAACTTTTTTTAATGTACCCGATCTTGTGGCTCGTCCAATAAAAAAAATACCCTTGGAAGTATACACAAAGAAGGATACCCTGTATAGTGAGGATCTTTTGAAAATAAAGTTAAATACATAAAGAAAAGCATTTTTGATAAACGACAGTGAAACATAAAAAATAAATAAGAAGCAGAAAAGAAAAACTGTTTTAAAGAGTTGAGATGACGTAAGTACCTAGGGCTCTTGCAAGCGGCCTGGTTATAAAAACGTCGAAAAATTTTCGCATCTTCAAAAGTGCCAAAGACCAATCTGGCGAATCCTCTGAAAAATTAAAAAACCATGCTATTTTATGGCACGCCGTTTTAGCATTTATTGGATAATAAGTTTGAAGATTACAGTTTAGCACAATGTTTTAACATAATTTTTTTTCCGTACGGGAATCTATAAACAGCACTACGGTTTTCGTATTGTTCATCTTTTACGGGAGGAAGGGAGGAAGGAAGGCAATCTATAAATCAGGCTTAAATGTAATGTGAATATGTTTGTGTCAAAAATGTATCAATTTAAATTTGTTAAAAATAAATGTTTTTGGTTTAAATTTTTCAAGAGTCATTTAAACGAAAGTCAATACATTTTTAATCCAAAAATTAGCACTGGAAAATTAAAAACTAAATGTACTTAATGTGAGAATTTTTGTATAAAAAATTTTCGACTTTCATTAAATGACTCTTTACTATGGAACGCCGTTTTACTAGCTATTTATATTAAAAGATGTCACTAATACTTTTGTTGACTTCCTGGTTGTTGTATAAATAGTTATTGAAACACTCGTGTGTTTATAAACCTTATTATTTAAAAGAATATAAACGTCAAAATACTTTTTGCAATTGTCATACATTGTAAAAACTCACTTTGTAATTGTTAAGGTTTATGCAATTGTGCTTTATGAGAAGAAGTAAAGCTTTTACGGAGAAAAGTTAAATATTATACATAGTTTTGGCAATTATCGTATGTTGCAAAAACCCAAAGAGTTGTATTTACATTAAAAGACGTCACTAATAGTTTTGTAGACTTGTTTGTGGACCTTTTACAATATACAATAATTGCCAAAATTCTTGAGTTTTTGCAATAAACGATAATTGCCAAAACTATGTATAATATTTAACGTTTCTCTATAAAAGCTTTACTTTTTTCCAACAATTGCATTTTATTAAAATTAAAATTTGTAATAATTAAATAGTAAAACGACATTTCATACTTTAAAAATTTAAAGCAATAATTTTGTAGAATATCCAGGGTAAAGTAGACAGTTATCTGACACTTTATAGTTATTGGACAATTAACATTAATAAAAACAAGAGTTCTATAAATAGTTACCTTGAAGTCAAATCATTAGATGGAACTACTTTATTTTTGGTAGAATATAGGACAAAAAAGTTCGCACGTTACTTTGGTGGTAAGATTTTTTTTAAGAGCAGGGCTGTGTTTAAATTACAATAAAAAATATTTCTAAAAATTGTGTGGTATAAATTTGTTCGTCATGGTTTAAACATTGTCACTTTAATGCGTTTTAATTTTAATTCTGAAAACAAACAGTAAATGGCCAGTGTCCAAATACTGGTTGGTAAAAAATGTAAATTTCTATTATTGGACATGTCCAATTTCATACTCTATTTGTATCCCGGATATTTACCAGCCAAATCTTATGTAATATTGTCCCCTGAATCCGAAAAGACCGTCAAAAACTATAAAAGTTAAGCAGTTTTTGAGATATAGTCAATTCCATATTATTTGTAAAATTGATTATATTTCAAAAACTGTTCTACTTTTATAACTTTTGAAGACATTTTCCGATTCAGCGAATAATATTTCATAGGAATTGACTGATAAATATCCTGGATACAAATTGCTGTTGACGATAATTATTAGTGGCTGCTTTTTCGCAATGGCATTTATGACTAATTCATTTTTAGAGAGTAAGTAATGTAGTGATTTCTTCGTCACAGGAAATCTTGCAGAATAACAGTGATTTAAATACAGTGCATGATGGAGAACATAAAAAATGGCAACAAAATTAATAAATTCGTAAACATACCACCCAAAAAAATATTATTATATATATTATAAATTATCCTGTTTCGGGCTAAACATTATAATAAACACTTATTAATATTTGCGACAAACTATTTCAGAAGTCAGACCAAGCAATTTATCTTTAAAAAATATTTAACAATTTATGTTATTTGATGTAAAGTTGTAATGTTTATATAAAAATCAATGTGTCCAATTACTATATAAAACGTCCAATTACTATACTTTTTTTGCATTATTTTATAAAACTAATCCTTTTTATATATTTAAAAGAAAAAACTAAAATTTTAAACCAATAAAATTTTAAATTAAAAAATTATTTAATAAATTTTAAAACGGCGTGCCATACTTCTTTATATTATACAAATAGGTATTTAGTTGATTAACTACATTGAAAAATGTTAAATTCTTAATTTAACTCTTCTATTTCGGCGAAAGTTGCGTTAAAAAAACTCCTTAGTTACTAATAAAACACGTATTCGTTTCAAGTGGACTCACCTTCGCTGGAGCACATATCACAGCCGTCCAGCTCTGCCATCAGCGTGAGATACCTGTCGAAAGGCAGCGCGGTGGCGCCACCTGGCTGCGAGCCGTTCAAGTAGTGCTTCACTTCTTCCGCCTCGACCTTCCGATTGGTCAGCCGTCGGCACGTTTCGAGCACCTTATCGACGCTCACTTGACCGCCGTAAGAGTCGTACTCCTGCCTCAACCTTCTAAAAATTCGATTAGCAACGGTCGACACGCATTTTTTCCCCCCTACTTACTTGAGTTTGTGTGTGATTTGGTCTTCTGGTGTCGCGTTGCTGGTTGAAGCGTTTTTGAAAAAGTTGGCGGTGCATTGAAGGGCGCTGGGTAAATCCGAGTGGATTTTGACGCCTCGACTTTTTACTAAATGCAGTAAACACGTTTGTCCTTCCACTAAATCTATGTATTCCCTGAAAAGAAGATAAATATAATAGCTTTTTAGAAACTTGCTTATGTTAAAATTAGGGTTACCAGATTCTGTCAAAAAAAGTCGGGACATTTTGTGTGATTTAACCTTAATTACAAAAGTGACATAATTAACAATAATTAAGTAACGTCAAACTTACAATTTGCATTGTATTATTATGTTAATTTTTTAATTAAGGTAAATTAATACTAAATGTCCCGATTTTTTTGACAGAATCTGGTAACCCTAGTTACAATGTTAAAAGCATATTTAAGAATGTAAAAACATAATACAGATAGATTTGAGAATGTCAAAACCTAATAAATAAGATCAAAATCCTAAGAATGTCAAAAACAGAGAAGGCTTCGAGTAAGAAAGAGAGGGTAATTTTTTTAATGTCAAAACAATATTTGAAAATGTAAACTTATTAAAGAACGTCAAAGTTTACTAGAGACTGTCAAAACCATGGAAAATGCCAAAATGACTTAATTAAGAAACACTTTTTTGGAACACAATTTAGAAGGTCAAAACCCTATTTAGGAATATAAAACCCCCTACAAATGTCGAAAACAAATTTTAGAATGTGAGGAATATCAAAAGATATTTAATATCATAAATGTCATAAACAAGTTTTATAATGTTAAAACCATAAAAATGTTACATTTTTTAAATGTAAAAATATTTTAAAATGTCTTATTTAAAGTCAAAGTTACTTTCTTATTTAGTTGTACCGAAACAGTACCAAAACAGCAGACGTCAGTACAAAACATAGATGACCGAAGGTACAAAATGGAAATCAGTGCCACTACTGGTGAAAAAAAGAAAACGTTATTTGTGCGATTTAGTAGGCAGGTTGTAGAGGGCGCTGTCCCGTACGGGAATCTATAAACAGCACAACGGTTTTTGTATTGTTTATCTTTTACGGGAGGAAGGGAGGAAGCAAGGAAGGCAATCTATAAATCAGGCTTTAGTCCTATCATCCGGGAGCGCTCTTATTGGTCCAATTATAATTCGAAAATTATGACATTTTATCGGTCCGTCAAGTTTTAACTTCGTACGTCTGACGGAGAAAGTTAATAATATATTATGTATCAAGTTTGATAAACGCCATTTTATACACGAATTTAATTAAATTAATAAGTGTATAGAAAAGTTTATAAACGAGGTGCATACTATACTTTTTCTACGACAAATACTTAATACAATGATTTAAATCAAAAATTTGCATAGAGCGCCATCTATGAAACAATAGGGGAATCTGTGGGTCACCGTCAAATGTCACATTTTTATATTTTATACAAAGATTATAAAGGTTATAAATCGAAATGTATTTCTTGAAAATAGACAGTTTTTCACAGTGAAAGTAAAGAAATTGTTTTATGAGCACTTAACAGTGGAGTCTGTGCCCGAATTTAAGTTATAGTTTACTGCCGGCGAAATTAAAAGGTCAGTACAATGTTCATATAAACTTTTCAAATATTGAGATGTTGAGATAATAAAATAATTTTCACATTTAGTATTATTTTACAAGAAAGGCACTTTATTTTAACGATTGTATGAAATTTGACAACTGTCAACTAACTTAAAACTAACTTCAGCCCGTGATTAAAAACCTGTTGCTAACTTCAGCCCGTGAGTAAAGCGCCATAAAGCCACAACTTGTCAATGTGTATTTAAAAGGTCACTTAGTGTCATTGAAACATGTACGATAAAGGACGTTTTAAAGGTGGGAGTAGAAAATAGTATATTATGTATCAAGTTTTAAAAATTCCATTTTAGTTACGAGTTTTATTAGGCACGAGCGAAGCTTGCAAGCGAATGTTTAATAAAAACGAGTGTCTAGAGAAGTTTATAAAACGAGTTGCATACTATACTTTATCTACGACGAACAAATAAAAAGAATTTAAAGCCAATTTTATTTGTTAAACTTTTAACGGATTTAACCTCACTTTTCCCTAATTTATAATAAAGCTAACTTCAGCCCGTGACTAAAATGCCCAAAAGCCACTGTTGCTAACTTCAGCCCGTGACTAAAACGCCATAAAGTCGCAGCTCGTCAATGTAGGAGAGGAGAATAAAAAAAATTAAACTCATCCGTCACTTCAAATCCGTTTTTGAAGCCTAAAGTTATTCTAAGATAATTTATTTTCAAATCTTTTAAATTTTTTTAATTATGTAATTACGTTCGTTATGTGAATATATTATAATGTTCTACTGTTATGTCTTTATTTAATAAGAAAAACGGAAAAAAAGAAAAGAAAAAAAAATTATTAAAACCAGAACTAAAAGGACCTTCTTTTTCAAAACCATACATTTTAATGTATATTAATGCTAGTATATTCTTTTTATATGGTATCTTTAAAATTAGACAGATAACTGTTAAACAATTGTTGACATAATGGGGTAGTTAAATTTTTTCTGACCTATACTTTTTATGGTTTTATTCAAGGCGTTTTGTAATTTTAAACATTTCTGTGAAATCAGAATTTCAATTGAGTTTACCGTTTTCGAGATATTTACAAAAAAAATCTCCTAATTACGTCACTAGGCTATTGACAACGTTGCCAGCTTTTTCTATGGTTGCCAGTGTGTTTAGTTTAAGATTCTTACGATAGATGGCGCCACGTTATAATATTTTAGTTTTAAAACCACTTGATCTATAATAATTATAATTATTTTAGTTGAGAAGAAGAAGAAGAATTGATTTTTTGACGTTTCTTTTTTTCGGGTTATGCTTTTTTTAAAAATTTAGATTATTGAAAATCAATGTTATTGTTATGTTATTTGTAATTGATATTAGATAAGTGATTTATTAATAACGGACTCCAAAGCAGAGGAATCTTGTGGAATGGTTGGTTACATTGAACATTGGAGCTTTTAAACAAATAAAGTAAGTACCTATAATTATAATCATATTTTGTCGTAAATGCATTTCATTAGTATAATGCCTAGTTCTTTATATTCTTTTAGATATATCTTGGACTCTAAAATATCAAACAGTAATATGATACCTCGTAATAAGGAAGATAGGTACTTAATGAATTTGGTGACCAAAAATGTACTCTAGAGCGTAGTATCTTTGAACAGTCCAGAAGTTTGTCATACATTTTTTTAATCTTACAAAAGGTTTTGATGCTCATCATCAGGGATGCAAGTTTTATAAAAACTATACACAAATATCATAAATACCATTTACTGTTATTTTTTGTAAATTTATTTCATTCATTTTCAGCTTTATTTTGCCCATATACCTATTACTCCTATACGGGTAATCGACAATTCATTCAATGTGCAATTGTTCTTGCCGTAAAAGAAAGATGCCCTTATTTCAAATGTTAAATGGGAACTTTTGCGCATGTGCCTTACAATATACCACGCCCGGTTTTAAATTCGCCAAATTTAAAAATTCTTTTCCTTGTCATTTTCTTATAACCTCTTTGGTCGAAAACATTGTTTTTGTTTGAAAAAGTGTTTTTATTAATTTAATTTAATGCAGCTAGTGTTTAAAATAAATGGGCAAAATCATATTTGCAATTCTCTTTTATTTAATCAAAAAAACTGAATTAAAAACCAGATTATTGACGGCGGGCCAAAAACAAATGACCGATTTAGAAAAATAATGAAATATTAAAGGTTACTAACATTCCCAATCTCTTGGCAATCTAATAAAAAAATAGGTAGGTAGGTAGGTACTATAAGTTCATAGTAGATATTTGGTAAAAAGTTAATTGTTTTACCATAAATAATACCTACCAAAATTTTGATTAAAGTGTAATTGTAATAAACCAGAATCACAGGCGTAAACACAAAATAATAAACAATTGTTTATTATTTTGTGTTTATGCCTGGTTAACCAAGATGGCAGTGCATTGTTGCCAAATTGACCAAGACAGATTATATATTTTTTTTTAAATAATAATTTTGAAGATTTAAATAACTACAATTAGGCTAAAATTATTCAGACAATAAAACAATAACGTTTAAAAGATATTTTTTAAATTTTTACCATATTTACAAGTAAAATTTGAATAAAGAAATCATCTAAAAGACAATATAAAAGAAACAAGGCAAGCTGTAGTATTTTAATAGTGTAGCATGCGCATTGGAAACATTTTATCATTTGAGATAGATACATATACCTGTCTCTTAATAATTGCAAGGGGCGTGGTAAGTCGTTTACCCGTATAGGAGTTATAGGTATATGATTTTGCCACTTTTTTCTATGAAATATATTAAACTCTGCTTTAGACAGTTATTAGGTACCTATTTATTACATTTTATTAGGTTTCACACGGTGTTTCAATGTGTAAACCTATCAATAAAACTTTTAATTTCAGAATTTTCTTTAACCTCCTCTTCTTCTTCTTTCACTCAACTGACAGTGACAGTATTTGTACATAACCTCTTTGGGTATTTTCTGACATAACCGAATGAAATCATTAACAAGGGTACTTGACAACAGGGTAATTTTCAACCAATAGAAATCTTAGAATGTTGGTCACATGGCGAGGTTTGTGACGTCATAAAAATTTATATTTTTTGTAAATATCTCGAAAACGGTAAACTCAATTGAAATTCTGATTTCACAAAACGCCTTGAATAAAACCATAAAAAGTATAGGTCAGAAAAAATTTAACTACCCCATTGTAACTATGACAATTAAGCATTAGGTAAATTTTGTGAATATACCTTGTAAACGCCTCTGCAAGAAAACGTTTTCGAGATATTTGCGTTTAAATTTTTATAAATTTGTACCTAAAAATATTCCAAAACAATTAAATTTTATCTTAACTACTAAAGTTTGGTTTCCGCTGAAAGTCGTGTTTTGGTCGGACACTAGCAAAAACCATATTTATGTTAAGGAAAGTCAAAAACTATTGATTGAATGAATAGTTTAATTTAAAATGACTATTTTTGTTTTTCACCGAAACTCCAAAACATTGTTCAAAACATCGATTAAAAACTCCCCTTAAAGTTTGAGCCCTTAATTTTAATTTTAAGTACTTCCTTTCCAATTTTGAATTTTTCCCATTTAAAAAGTATGTATTTTCAATCACTTTTTTTAAGTTTCTATATCATTGCTTTTTAAAAGAGCCTTAAAGAATTTGTTTTTAACTCGATTTACCTTTTTTCACATATTTCACATATTTTATTCGAAAAAGTTGTAAAAAATTTAATTCTCTATAAAAAAGTTTATATCGCTAAAGTGCACAGTTTATGAATATTTAATAGTCATGGAATCGAATCTAAGACAAATCTCAAGAAAACACAAATTTTTAACTGATCTTTCTTGTAAACTGTACACTTTAGCGATATAAAGGTAAGGACTTTTTTGTAGAGAATTAAATTTTCTCCAACTTTTTTTTTTAAATTTTCGGTAAGACAAGCCATTCTCTTAATATTTTCAAAAATATGTGAAAAAAGTAAAAAAAGGTGAATCAAGTTAGACAAAAATTCTTAAAGGCTCTTTTAAAAAGCGTTAAATACCACCCGAAAAAATATTAGATATACAACAAACTATTTTAGAAATCAGACTATGGAATTAGTAGTTACCTTTAGAATCCAGAAAAGGGATGAGGAATCCGAGAAAGAAATATATGAATTAAATGGTATTTACAAAAACGAAATAAAAAAAATTACCTAAAACAGCAATTTATCTTTAAAAAATATTTAAAAATTTATGTTATTTGATGTAAAGTTGTTATGTTTTTATAAAAATTGTATGTCCAATAACCAGAGCTGGGCAGTAGTTAACTACAAATGTAGTTAACTACGTAGTTAACTACTTTTTTTCTAAAAATAATCGTATTTCAACTACTTTTTTTTACCTAGTAGTTATACTCGATTATTTTAGGTTTTCATAAAATATTCGTAAAAAGTAGTTAAAAAAGTAGTTAACTACTCAGTCGTAACTACTTTGTATAGTTAAACTACTTTAATATATTTTAACTACTTTTACATAATTTAACTACTTTTGAGGTAGTTATTTAAGTAATTTCCTAGATATGCCATGTGCAGAAACAGGTTATTAGTTGTTGTCAAGAACTTGTTGAAAACCCTTCGCCTAGCGCATTTTGTCTTATTTACTACTGTAAAGAATAATTATGTCTGAAATTGATATTTTTCAGGAGGTAAGTAAAAACGTAAGATTAATTAATTAATTTTTCAATGCTTGGTTCTTCAATTTCCGATTAACTTAAGTGTTAAGATTGCCTGCAACTTTGACTTAACCTGTAGTTTAATTTACGCAAAGTTACGCCAATTTAGATCCTTAAAATCTTGGATATGTTCTGTCCTTAAAATACAATAATAATTATTGTATTTATTGGTGTTTAAATTCATCTGGCAAAAATTAATTTTTATCCGCTTAATTTAGAACTAATAAACGGGGTTTAGCAATGATTAAAAAGTGAGTCCCGTAGCACTATAGTTTCGCTCAAAAGTGCGAAGACATACAAAAAATTAATTTAAAAAAAATTGACTTAAAACTTTATTTTTTAATAAAAGATTAAAATCCTAAGCAAACATATTTATTATTTTTTAACATATACTTTAAATTAAAATAATAATAATAATAATTAAATTAAATTAAATACAAATAAAACTGTACTAGTTAATTTCTATAATAGGAAAAGTCCCGAGTTACGTAATGTAACGGTAGGCAATGTTAATCTTGATCCCTCTAAAACAACAAAGTTTCTTGGACTTCACCTGGATAGTGACTTAAATTGGACATCACATGTCGATACAGTAGTTAATAAATTAAATAAAGCATTTTTTGCAATTTTAAGTATAAAAACCTCCATGCCACAAGCATACTTGATTGAGGTGTATTATGCATTGGCTTATTCGCATCTGAGTTATAATGTTTGTGTGTGGGGTGGGTCTTCTTATTCACATAGAGCATTTGTGGCTCAAAAGAGAATAATAAGAATCATTTATAATTTAAAAAACCAAGAAACTTGTCGAAATACCTTTAAAAACAATAATATTTTAACGCTGCCTTGTATTTACCTTTACCATTGCTTAATTTTCGCCAAAAAGAATATTGAATTGTTTGAAAAAAATTGTAAATATCATAAATACTCTACTAGAAATGCTCAGGAATTTATAGTAACATCCCATAAAACTACTAAATTCAAAAATTCTGTATTATTCTCGGTGGCAAAAATATATAATAAAATTCCAAAAAATTTAAAGAGTATTCAAAGCTTAAAAACTTTTAAAATGGAGTGCAAGAAATTTTTAATACAAAAATGTTTTTATAATTTATGTGAGTATTTTTAATGTGGTTTGTGAAATATGTTAAATGTTTGTGTCTTATTTTTATTTTTAATATATACCGCTGTATACAAGAATTATTGTAACTCAGTCTTGACATATACACCCTGTAATAGGAATTACGTATGAATAAATTATTATTAAAAAAAAAAAAAAAATTAAGTGATTTATTAAATTTTATAACTTTGAGTTATTTTGCCATTTTGGTAGCTGTAATATTTCAAAGAGAGTAGTTAAAAAAAGTAGTTAAATTTTTAACTACTAACTACTTGTAGTTAGTAATCTAACTACTTTTTTGTATAAGTAGTTTAACTACTAGGTAGTTAAACTACTTTTTTAATTAAGTAGTTAGTAGTTATACTCCACTACTTTTTTCAAGTAGTTTGCCCAGCTCTGCCAATAACTATGGTCGCGTTTTTTGCATATTTTTATAAAACTATTATCAAAATTAAGGGCTCAAACTTTGAGGGAATTTTTTTAAATAATATTTTGGAGTTCCGGTGAAAAACAAATGAACACCCTTATGTATAGCTTAGATCCCAAAACAGCGCAATAAGTACTCACTCGTCGGTGATGGTCTCCCCCATGATGGTCTGATTCTTTTTGAAGGGTTGAGCGACGATGACCACGCACCGGCCCGAAGCCACCAAATAAGCCACCTCGATCATGCCGACGGTGCTGCGCGTCTGGCTGTCGATCACGAAAAGCAGCAGCGAAGCCGTTTGCTTCGCGTTGAACTCCTGCTCGACCAGCTCCGGCGCCCACATCGAAACTTGCTGGAAAGGAAGTAAAACAAACTCGTTACAGGACACCGTTACGAGTTGCGCGAACGCATTGTGTGGCGTAAGAAATGGGTGGCTGCGCTTCTCGACATAGCACAGCAAAGGGGAAAATATAGAAGTGTATTGGATGACGCCACGTTTGAATACAGTTTTCTAAACCCTCGGCACGGTATAGAGTTGTATTCGTCAGTCAAGCGTTTCAATACTCTCCACAGCATAGATAGACCAGTGCAGAAGCCTTTAAAAATGGTAAAAAGAGAAAAAAAATAACAGTAGGATGAAACCCATTGGAAAAGGAGGGGAATATAATAAAAATTAAAGGAAAAATAAATTACGGGCGATCTGAGTTCGGGAAGTGGGAGGGGGGGGTTTAAGGGTAAAAAATGGTTTATCTCGATTTCCGGCAAAACTATAAGTCCTATGGAAAAAAGTTAAATGGCAAAGTTGTAGGTAATAAAAAGATCTACAACTTTTGTATTTACAATTTTTTCACATAACCTTAAAATTTATGTGAAAAATTCAAAAAACCAAGTTTTTGTTTTTTTTATTTTTATCTTTTTCAAAAAAAAAAAAATTTCCACGAAATTTGGTGAAAACTTACCTTTTTATGTCCCAAATACACTGTAATTTATTTGATTTGAAATATTTATTATTTCGCCTTATTTTGACTTAATATCAAAAAAGCACCCTAATTTTCAATCGAAAATTCTCGCGTCAAAATATCAGCTTTTTTCAAAAAGTCGGTGTGCTTTTTGTTCGATGAACTCTCTACTTTCTGATTGTGTAAAAAATATATACATTACTAGGGTAAATGTTCTCAGAAAATACAAAAAATATTATAATGAATAACGTAATCAGAATGAAGTATCTAAATTCAATAGTATGATTTACATGTATTTTTATATTTTATGAGATTTTCTGACATAAATGTTATTAGAATTTAATAAATAAGCTTTTTAACTAAAAAAAATTGCAACAATCACATTTTTTTGATGAAATTGTACATAATGATTAAAATAAATTTTCGAATTCGAGTTTTTTTCGTTATTCATTATAATATTTTTTGCATTTTCTGAGAACATTTACCATAGTAATGTATATTTTTTTTACACCATCAGAAAGTAGAGATTTCAACGAACAAAAAGCACACCGACTTTTTAAAAAAAAGCTGATATTTTGAAGCGAGAATTTTCGATTGAAAATTAGGCTGCTTTTTTGATATTAAGGCGAAATAATAAATATTTCAAATCAAATAAATTACTGTGTATTTGGGACATAAAAAGGTAAGTTTTTACCAAATTTCGTGGAAAAAATTTTTTTTTTTTAAAGATAAAAATAAAAAACCAAAAACTTGGTTTTTTTGAATTTTTCACATAAATTTTGAGGTTATGTAAAAAAATTGTAATTACAAAAGTTGTAGATCCTTTTATTACCTACAACTTTGCCATTTAACTTTTTTCCATAGGACTTGTAGTTTTGCCGGAAATCGAGATAAACCACTTCCCGAAGTCAGATCGCCCGTAATTTATTTTTCCTTTCATTTTTATTATATTCTCCTTTTCCAATGGGTTTCATCCTACTGTAATTTTTTTTGGTTTCAAAAATTATCGACCCTGGTCTAAGAGGTCGTAGTTTGACTTTTGAACTAGTATTAATATGAAAATTATTTTATGCTTGAAAAAAAAACTATATACGACATGATTGTGATTTTTTTCATTTTATTAATTAATCAAGCTGTGTTGAATATTTTTCCTAAAGGAATAATTGCCAATGGGCCATTAATTCATTTGTTCGTAGATACTACAATAACCTGCACTGGTGTGTACCTTTTGACCAACCCGATTTAAATATTGCTGTACTAACATTAAACTACCAGTGGAGATGTGCAGGGTCTACCAACAGACCTCATTAGTAAATTATTAAAGTTTAATAGCATATCGATAATTTTTTCAACATAACCTCTGAAATTTTTAATACAAATATAGGTACTTTATATAATACATAAATATACTTTACATCATATCCTGTGTGCTTTACATACCCGAGTTGTTACGGTAAATAAAAATCAGACAAAGGAACCAAAGAAAGGAACTATTTTCAACAAAATCATATGCAGAAATGAGAAAATTCAAACTACTTGCATCCATCAAAAGATCAAAACTTCTTGCAATATTGAATTACACCTTTTTTCTATGCTCTCAGAAATTGTGACTAGAACAGTATTAGAGAGACTCCAGTTCTATAACTTGGTAGAGTAAAGAGAAGTCGAAACCGTTGCGATATTGCATTGCGCTGTTTTTTATAATTCTCGGGAACATTAACGAAAATCATTGCCAGTAAAATTCGAAAAGCTTGAGTTTCTATGCCTTTGAAGAGAATAATAATCCGAAGTTGCTGCACCATTGGACTGCCCCCTTTTTCAATAATTTCCAGAGACATAACCGACTGCGCCATTCGACAGGGTCGAGTTTCTACCTCTCTGTTGAATATAGAAAATCAAAATAATGTATCTTGTAAGACACCATTGAGTTTGACTTTAACTATAGTCGTGCAAAGGTATAGAGGCGAAAAATATAAAAACAAAGCACGATTCAATGCAGTTCTGATAAAACTTTAAGATCTAGTATTCAAACGGGGAGTCATACTAAACACTTCTATATTTTGGGGTTTGAAATGTTCGATAATTTAAGACTATGTTTTCTTGTAGGGTTATTTGAATGTCAAGTTGGGACTTACTGGGTTGTAAAATGATATTCCATGTTTCTGCAGCTCGGGTATTGCTGTGTCCGCTCGCCATGTCGTTGGATTACAAGAACCGCCCAAAAATACTTGAAAGTTGCTTTTAAATTCTAAAAAAAATTACAAAAAGAAAAAAATTAAAATAGTTTGGTATTGTACTATGCTCCACACCTCAAAGTCCCACCACGTGACCACGTACAGAACGCAGTCTTTTAAAAATTTGGCATTTAAGGCTTTTCAGGTTATGTATCTGTCAAAGTATAGTCAACGAAAGAAATAATATTAGGTTTAGGCGTTAAAAATGTATAAATCTTTATAACATTACAATAACAATTAATGGTTTAAGAATTTAAGAATATAAATACTTACTGCATTTAATGAAATTCTAAAGTGTATGGTGCCAAATAAGTAATATTTTTGTGTATTTGGTTTACATAATATGTAGATATTATCTGGTTTTCTCCATAAAATAGTTTTAACTAAATGGCATAAGTTTTATTAAAAAAAAAACTAGCTTCTCTATTATGGAAGAAGAATACCTGTATCAAAGGTAGGTTAATATATTATACGCTTAAGAAGAATCGCTAGTAGCGCCACCAATGGGCTGTTATCGTAACAAAAGTAAAACTTTTAATAATCAGCTGTCAAACGCTTATGCTACAAACGAGTGTTTTTTGAGAATAAAGCCGGAAAATGTTAAATAATATCGAAAAAAAAAACGTGGCTCGATTTTTTGTGTTGTTGGGTGTATTTCGAGAGGAAATCCTGTGTTGAGTTTTTACCGGTTTTCCAATAAACAGTGTTAATCTAAATGAAGAAATAAATTGCATACAGTCTCTGTAAATAACACATTTTATACACATTTTAGTAGTGATTAACGTGAGTGTAAACATTTCAATTCAGTAAAAATCGTCAAACAAATAAGTCGTCTAAATTTAAACAGCATTTAGCAATATTAAAAGTGTTGATTAAGAAAGTCTCCACTTAACGGTAAAATACCATTATATTATGTATTATATATAATATTATGTTGCCAAGAATTCGTAAGTATATTTTGTTGTTTAAAATGCAGTTGTCGGCGTTTTTCAGAGAACTCAAATATAAAAATGGTTGATTTTAAGGTTATGTTTGTGCAAAAAATATTTTTTACTAATTTCTTAGAAATGTCCAAACTTAAATATAAATTATATTAGGTAAAGTTATGATTAGTTAATTCTGCACCAACAAATGTACTTACCGAATTGGATCATTTGGCAAAACATGAAAATGCATCGATTTAGTTCTTGAATTTTATTACAATTAAAAACACAATAATTCACCATGATCCCTTATCCCAGATGGCGCGCGCGCGTTGCGAAATCCCGATACTTCTTTAGCGTATAGGTAAAATAAAAACAAAAGACGAATTTAATTTAATTTAATTTTCCAAAAAAAGTTTCTTAAGTGAATCCAGTTTAAGAACAATTCTCAGAAATTAAAAAGAGAACAATGTATTAAGCTTTTATTTTTGATAACAATCGTTATTGCATCTAATATATTGTATATACACAGGGTGTCTAAAAAGAGAGTGTACAATATTTTTAGGGCATATAGAAGAGCTAAAAAGAGGACGAAAAGTACTTTGGCGTTTTTTGATCTGACGCACTCTTAATTAGTTATTATTTAAATAAAGTTTCCAATCACAGGCTTGCTTTAGCAGAATGAGTTGAGTTGCGACAAACTATAAAGGCAGATACCAAATATAAAACTTTTATGAACTTAATAAAATAAAACTGTGAAATTCAGTAGCTAACCTTCAGTTCCTTAGACTGTCAGCTAATATACCTATACTGTCAATACAAGTACCTATAAAAGCTTTGACATAATTTGATCTAAATAGAACAATCATTATAACCTTATAATTTATCAAATTTAAATAAATTCCACAGTATAGTAACTAATACTTTTTCTTCTAAAAAAAATTGGTATTTTTTGTAATCCATCTAAAGTATACCTACATAAAGTTTTGTCAATACAAGTAGGTATAAAGCTTCAACTGAATTTGATCTACATCGAAAAATCATTATAACTTTTAAAATTTTAATATGCCACATGTCATGGGAGTATTAAATATTTTCACATTGCAAGTTTCAAGCTTCAATTTAATATGAACCATATTCAACAATTATTTAGTATACCTATATTTATATAACCCTATTAAAACACTATTCCAAATAATCCAAAATACTTATTTATTTTGGTCAAAATAGATTTTTCCAACCTTAAAAATTACAAACTTGCACATGATGATATTTTTTACAGATATTCTTATTTCATAATAGAGAAATTAGATTATTTTTTAATAAATGCTGTTTAGTTAAAACTATTTTATGGAGAAAACCAGATATTTGGACCAAATGCACAAAAATATTACTTATTTAATGTTTCTTTAAAAGTTTGACTCTTAAAAACAAGTGTAAAAATTACTACTAATTAATTAGGACTGGTAAGGATATTTTAAATATTAAGCGGAAACAGATTGAAGGTTATCAAAAATGATCTGTTTTAATTTAATTAATTTGATTGAAAGTTCAAATTAAACACTTATTTATATACATTTGTTGTGTAAAAAACATTTTCTACTCTGTAAAAAATAAGCCTCGTTAACAAATAAGCTTTCTGTAAAAACATTTGCTTATCTTAAGGTCTTAACCGATACTAACTAAATTTATAATTAGACTTGATTAAAAATACAAAAGCAATGTGGTTTTGTATCAAATAAACAAGATCAACAAAAGTATGAAAATTTCCTAAATAAAAACTATAAGATCTGTCGAAAACAATAGTTATATCTATAACTCTAGTTATTATTCCTTACAATCAATAAAAAATATAAAACTTACTGTTATTTGCTTTGTGTATTGATGTTTTCCTATGGTGGATTGGGGGTTGATTTTGCATCTCCCTTATAAAAACACAGAATTCACCAAAGGTGATGGAATCGCTGGCCCCATTTTTATTGTACCTTTTCGCACACTGAAGCATTTTCGACACTGTAAACAAAAAGCAGGCATAATAAAATCATATTAAAAGCTGTTTGTTTTGGGAACCTTAACCTGATAGGTACGTCATATTTGTGAGGTTATGGGATTATTGATTCCAAGTTTTGGCACTTGACGCAAGGGTCACTGACAGCGCTACTCTTAAAAATACCAATGTTTAAGTTTATAAAAATAATTTTAAGATTTGTTTACATTTTTTGTTTACCTAGCTACTTTGTGTTTTTAAGACATTATTTTTTCCAAATTTGTATCTTCATTGGAAGAAATTTAATTAAACACAGGAAGTGTTTATAGAAAAGTAAAAATAAATTGTTTTGATTGTAAAAAGGTGCAATGCTCTTTGGTTATTGTTTAATCATAAAATAACAACAAAAATGCGTTAGACGTTGAACTAACTTAAAACCATCTCAATTGATTTAACTAACTTTAGATTAAGTTTCAGATTTGTGTATTTTTACTTTTATATTAGTTTTTACTAAATTGAATACCAACTTAATCAAATTTGTCAAAGTAAAAGTTGAGTAAGGTAATGGTAAAATAAAAAAACTTCCAAATAAAACACTTTTAAATGATATACCTATTTCATTCATTACTTATTTCATTTTTCTCGAAAACGATAAGTTTTAGAAACATATTTTGTAAAAAAATGTAGTCTTGGTTGCCTACTACAATGAATGTTATTGCTCTAATCATTTTGATGATTTGATTAAAATTTGAATTTGAATATTTTTTATGAAAATCTCAATAGTATAGTAAAGAACTAATGTCATAAGACGTCATTTTGTCGCACGCGGAAAATTTATAATGGACGATTAAGAAATGAGTTCTTTATGCTATTTTATCTATTTTGCAAAAATTCTATAAAAAAAATAATTTTATACCTTAAACATAATTTGGTCGAATTTTACATTAGATAGTTGGTATCACAGTCATTGGTTTGACAGTTAATGTCAAAATCGTTTCGCCATGCCGTCCTTAATTTACTTATTTACAATAAGCGGCTGTTAATGTTAAAGAAGAAAAAAAGGATTTTCTTTGGTGTTAAACAAAATGTATTGCCAGAAAAGTCTCGTAAGTACTAGAAAAATAATAAAAATATTATAACCAATATGCAAAATATTATGCTGTTTAAAGTAAAGCCAACCTATAAAATCAAAATTTTGGGTGGGATAAAGTATTTCATTACAGAGCCGAAAGCGGTGTTATAATAAAGTCATTATGAACGCAAAATAGATAATAGTACCTATATTATGTATCAAGTTTGATAAACGCCATTTTAAACACGAATTTAATTTAGGCACGAGGGGGCTTGCGAGCGAGTGCTTAAGTTAATGAGTGTATAGAAAAGTTTATAAACGAGGTGCATACTATACTTTTTCTACGACAAATACTTATTATTATCTTAAAATGATTTAGGTACATCAAAAATTTGTAAAGTGCGCCATCTATGAAACAACATGGGAAACTGTAAAATGTCACATTTTTACATTATATAAACACAATTATAAAGGATGTAAATCGAAATGTATCTTGAAAATTGACAGTTTTTCACAGTGAAAGTAAAGGAGATGTTTTATGAGGACTTTACAATAGAGTCCGTGCCCGAATTTAAGTTATAGTTTACTGCCGGCGAAATTAAAAAGTCAGTACAATGTTCATATAGGTAAACTTTTCAAATATTGGCGTTGAGAAACTATTTAATATTTTTGTATTTTTGAATTGAGATAATAAAATAATTTTCACATTTAGTATTATTTTACAAGAAAGGCACTTTATTTTAACTATTTTATGACATTTGGCAACTGTCAACTAACTTAAAACTAACTTCAGCCCGTGACTAAAGCGCCGGAAGGCACAACTTGCCAATGTGTATTTAAAAGGTCACTTAGTTAGTGTCATGGAAACATGTACGATAAAGGGTGTTTTAAAGGTGGGAGTAGAAACAGATTATTATTAGCACTTTTTAAAATTGTCATTTCAAATTTTGTGCTGCCAACTTAAGAAACAAAAAATATGACAGTTTTAAAGCTTAATTTTGCCATTGTAACAACAAATTATTAATTTAAATTGTTCCTTATTTAATTTTTATGTTGTTTTTAGTTTTTAATGGTAGGTACTTTAAATTGTAATAAAGTAGTAATTTGTTAATTAAAATACAACGTTTTATTTTTACTACATTGGCACCGCTGAATTTCTGAATTTGCTGTCACTACTGTTATTTATTTATAAAACCTTCTTTATCTCTGATAAAACTTTCAAATGCTACCTTGTTCAATAAAGTATCTACTCAAAATTCTGCAAGATATAAAAAGTAAGTATGAATTATTTAGTTTAGTAATAGGATATTCGAGGTTTATAATGCCTTTTTGTGTTTATTTTATCCACAATTAGCCATAATTTCTTTAAAAATTAATCAAATATATTACCTTGTGCTTTGGACGGATATAGTTGCAATTCATTAAGAATGTTTTGTACATTGTCTTCGGGAATGTGCAGAGTGTTGTTACCCTTAAGGTGTGTGCAAATTGCATCGTATACTTGTCTGAAACAAAAAATAAAACATTATTTGGGAGAAAAAAATATTTTTTAAATTTATTTTAGTTTGTTTATGCCTATTACCATCTTCACTTAACGCTACTACTATTTTTAGACATTTCTATATACAGGGTGTGCGGAAACGTTAATATATTTCTGGGGTTAATTCTAAACGTAAAAATCATAGACATCTATTGTAAAAATAAAAGAAAAAGTTTTCCGAATTTGATTCCTGGGGGCGCTATAGGCATTTTAAAATGATTCGAAATAATTAATTTTTTAAATTATTTTTACCTGTAAAAATAAGACAAACTTGTCCGCTCAAACTTTTTTTTAAACCTTTAGCAATATTAACAAATTAAAAATCTTTCTAAATTGTAAAGTAAGACCCATTTACAAAAATAGAAATTACGTAAATTCCACCATAATTAACATAATAAAGCAACAAATTAAAATTTTTCGAAAAAATCCAATCGACAGTTGTAAACAGCAAATTATAAAAAGCATAAATATTTATAAATGCAATTTAAAATGTTTATAAACACGTCGTTAAGAGAAAAAACAACAAATAAACGAAATAAAAAACGTACTTTTTCTTTTGCTGCACCATTTTGCCGGTTTGTACAATAATAAAAAATAACGATATTATCACGGAAACGAAAAATCCCAATTTTCAGTCACTATCCACAAAACTACACATTACAGTGCTAATCCTCACAGAACTAAACACCTACTAAACCAAGTTTATCAACTACCGCGATTATAAACAAAATGCAGAGTGGGATTTTAGCATAATGAATATAAACAAGTGGTATTAGGTTTCTACACATTTCCGTTCGCAGAACACTGGCTCTTCAGTAGAGAAAATTCAGGAACTAAATCAACTGTCAATAATTATTGTAAATTTCGAGTTAAATAGGATAAGAGATTTGTTTAATATACGAGGTGTGTTCAGAAAATAACTGGAATTGTTAAATTTCGCGGGTTCGGAGGGTCCGGTTCTCATAAAATTTTCTTTATTAGGTTGGTATACATGCCCCCAAAGTATGATAAAAACTTTAGCTGTTTTCATTGTTTACTTTGTCTGTGGCAGCCGCTAAGGTTAGACGTGTTTTATGAGCTCGGCGATTTTTCGTTCGTTAAAAGAAAGGATCAAAGAATTTGTATCCAATTTTGCCTAAAAAATGAAATAAATTCTGTGAAATGTTAACAAAGGCCTATAGTGAGTCTGCTATAAGTAAAACAAGAGTTTACAAGTGGTATAAGAGTTTCCAAGATGGCCGTGAAGACGTTGAAGATGACGAACGCCCCGAACGCACAAGCGCATTAACAACCGATAAAAACATGGAAAAAGTGGAAGAAATGGTTATAAACCCTCAGAGAAGTCGCTGATGTTGGTATATCGATTGGCTCATCCCATAAAATTTTTTCGAATGTTTTGGGTATGAAACGCGTGGCAGCAAAATTTGTTCTAAAATTGTTAAATTTTAAACAACATTTTTGGCCAAAAACAATACTGTAATGATGCCCCAGCCTCCATATTCGCCAGACATGCCTCTGTCTGACTTTTTCCTATTTCCAAAAATAAAGAAAACCTTAAAGGGCCGTCGTTTTGCAAGCATAGATGACATTAAAAGCGCATCGCTGAAAGAACTAAAGGCTATCCCAAAGATCGAGTTTTAGAAGTGTTTCGAGTATTGGAAGAAGAGCTGGCACATGTGCATAATATCCAATGGGGACTATTTTGAAGGCGACAACATTAATGTAGACGAATAAATAAATATTTGTTTCAAAAAACGAACATTCCCGATATTTTCAGAACACACCTCGTAAAATGGGTAAACCACATAGTAATTGGACATTTAAGGAATATTATTTATTTAATATTTATATATGCCGTTGTTTTAAAGATTTTAGTTTTTTTCTTATAAATATATAAAAAGGATAGTTTATTTGTTTAAACTTTATTTACTAAAAATAAGAATATTTGAATTTTTAATAATAGTTTTATAAAAAACATGCAAAAAGTATAGTAATTGGACATTTTATATAGTAATTGAACCATAGTTGGACATAAAATTTTTATATAAAGATAACAACTTTAAAGATTTTAGTTTTTTTCTTATAAATATATAAAAAGGATAGTTTATTTGTTTAAACTTTATTTACTAAAAATAAGAATATTTGAATTTTTAATAATAGTTTTATAAAAAACATGCAAAAAGTATAGTAATTGGACATTTTATATAGTAATTGAACCATAGTTGGACATAAAATTTTTATATAAACATAACAACTTTACATCAAATAACAAAAATTGTTAATTATTTTTTAAAGATAAATTGCTGTTTTAGGTAATTTGATTTATTTCGTTTTTGTAAATTTATAATTCATATATTTCTTTCTCCGATTCCTCATCCCTTTTCTGGATTCTGAAGGTAACTACTAATCACTGTTTTTCTGCAATATGCCCCGTGACGAAGAAATCACTATATTACTTACTTTCAAAAAATGAATTAGTCAAAAATGTCATAGCGAAAAAGCAGCCACTAATAATTCTCGTCAACAGCAATTTGTATCCAGGACATTTAGCAGTCAATTCCTATGAAATATTATTCGCTGAATCCGAAAATGTCAAAAGTTATAAAAGTAGAACAGTTTTTGAAATTAATCAATTTTACATATAATATGGAATTGACTATATCTCAAAAACTGCTTAACTTTTATAGTTTTTGACGGTCTTTTCGGATTCAGGAGACATTTTTACATATAAGAATAAGAATTGGCTGGTAATGTCCGGGATATAAAACAAAAGAAATTTACATTTTTTACCAACCAGTAATTGGACACTGGCCATTTTACTGTTTGTTTTCAGAATTAAAATTAAAACGCATTAAAGTGACAATGTTTAAACCATGAGGAACACATTTATACCACACACTGATCTGTACACTTTTTAGAAATATTTTTTATTGTAATTTAAACACAGCCCTGCTCTTAACAAAAAACAAAAATCACCAAAGTAACGTGCGAACTTTTTTGTCCTATATTGGACCCAAAATAAAGTAGTTCTATTATTACCGACTGAGATAGTTATAATTGTATACAGTCTCATCTAATGATTTGACTTTAAAAAATCCCATTTTTGCGCTAAATAACGTTCTATTCATTCAAAAGAGAAATATCTCCCGAAGAAACAATACTTACCTTAAACAAAAAATAATAATTAAAAAATTCATTTTTAAGCTAAACCTCTTCCTTTGAATAATTCTTTATAATTTGGATAATTAACAAATTCAAATTATAAATAATTAATATTTTTCATGAAAAATACCGCTTTTGCTTTGCCAATAAAAACTTCTCCTTCCATATAAAACTAAATTAGGTACATATAAAAAATTCCAAAATAGTCATTTTAGATTGCCCGCCGGCATTCGATTACTAACAAATTTAATGATCTGCTTTTAAATTTTTGAAGGATGAATGTTAATTTTTGCATTAGTCACAACAAGGTTTGCGGTATAATTATTTATTTCAATCTCATTAATTAGGTATAATAATACGTTTCTCGCAAATTTTGTAATTTAATCCCTAAATGTATTTATAGCCGATGGCGCATGTTTTGCAATATACAGGGTGTTCCAGAACACGCCCCAAAGATAAAAAGGGAAAGTTATGCGAAACACATACTTGAAAATTAAAATTATCTAACCCAAAGGGTAAGCGAGATAAGAATAAAAAACGATAGCCAATACCAATTATTATACATGGCCATAGGGAATTCTTTAAATCGCTAGGATACACTGAAAGAACAGTTTATTTACAATTGATGATGTTGATTCTACTAGAAGTTGTCAAACTTTTTTTATTTTTTTTATTTTATAAATTTGTTGTTTCTTTGTTAAAAAGTGTTGGGTTGGGTTGGTTGGTTTGTTTTAGTTTTATCGTAACATAACAAATCTTAAAATTATGACGTCAATCGGGACTGAACTTAAGTCCCGCCTCGGGACGGGAGCCACAGCGTTGTTAATATTATAATATGTAAAATATTTGGTCGACTGAAAACCACTTCATTGTGATACTGCTGTAAATTTTTGTTTTTGTCAACTTTTTATTTTCTTCTTAGATATAGGTACTATTGGACTTATGTGACTTTTGGTGAAAATTCATTTTAGGTCAAGCGGTCTGCTTGACCTTGGTCTGAGCAAGTCGTTTCGGGCCCAGAATTTTGGGGAAACGCTGTAGATAATAATAACAATTGGGTAGCGGTAAACCGCAGTACTTGGCTGCTTTGTTTATTTTTATATGTATTATTATTTAATTTAATGATGAAAACTAATATCCACAATTCACACAACATTTAAATTAAAAATATAAAGTATCATTTTGTGTGTTTATTACGAAGGCGTAGAAGGACCAACAACAATATTTTTTTTTAATAAAATTTTTAATCGACAATTGTCGATCGGATCGACAATTGTATATATACAGGGTGTTTCACATTCGTGGCCCATTAGAAGTTTCTGGGAAACGAAAATAGATATCGATTTGAAATTTTAAAAGCGTTTATAATCCATTTCAGTCTATTTTTCTTTAATAATTTGAACAAAATGCGACTTCCGGTTAAACCAGATCAACTTAAATATTATTAATATTATTTTAAAATTTTTCGAATTATTAATTTTTAAACACTTAATTAGTTAACAAATTGTTTATAACAACCTGAAAAATTGACGCGATTAAATTTTACAAATTACATGGTAACCATAGAAACTAGTCTCTGATAAAAACCGTCAACTCACCCGTCACAGGTTTCGTGATACAAAATAATATGTAAAATTTTAGAAATTGTTAAATATCTCTGAAATTATTAACTTTAGTTATAGGGAATAGTAACATCAATCGAAAGGTTTTTTAATTTACTATTTGAATATGTAAAAACATACAAAGTGTTACATTTGAAATAAAAAAAGTTATTAACCTTCAATTAGGCCTAATTTTTTTAAG